AAGAGCAACTGCTCAATCAAATTATGTTGTAATTAATTCATGAGATCTCACCTATTATGGATGATAGGTCAGCATTAAACCTACGTCTCCACAATTTTTCAGAAGATTCCATCTTGTTGTTTTTTTAGAGAAATCAACGGCTGAAGTTTGACTAAATTCTGATTTGTATAATAGTGTATATAACATTGTAATTATTATATATGAGTGTATAAATATCTCTTATACATTTGTATAATCTTGTATATTGTGTGTATAATATTGTATATCAATTTTTCAAAATATTTTTATAAAAGACTAAAATGAAAGTTTGTATATCATGGTATACGAATGTATATTAGTGTATATCGGATTGTGTTTCGAACTAAAAATTTGTAATGTAAGATTTAGACTTTATTTTTAATATGTAATTGCACTTATAAATTTTTCTCATTTTAATTTCATGAATTCATGACTATATTCCAATAATTGAGCTCATCGCCTTATTTAAATTATGGGTTCATAGTTAAATATCTTCAACAATTTTAGTGGGTACTATACAAATAATAAACATAAATCTACTTTAAAAGTTATGAATTTAAATAAATATTTATAGTTTCAATTTTTTCATAATTAATTTTTCAAGACTTCAAAAATGTGAAAGTACAGTACTGTTTAGATACAATTTGCAAGCAAATTAATTAAACTACTTAGTTTTTAACCTACTCTGTTGGTGTGAATCAGAAGTGCGATAATTTTTTTTTGATAAAGTCTAATGCAAATATCTCTTTTAATGATCGGAAACATTAAGATATATTATATCAATTTCAGATACATGATTAAAAAAAAATATCTATATACATTTTTATAAAAATCTATTCTACATACAATAATATCAAATTTTTTTATAGGATATATTACCGAAAAATTATTATCTTTCAATAAAAGATATAACTCAAAAATGGTGATTTAGTAAAAAAAAAAAGGGGGGGGGGGGGGGGGGAAAGTTGTTAGACGCATGATTTACTTCTAAAATTTAGCATTTAAGTTACATTCCATTTTTAAGTACATATAATTACAATTTACATGTATCTGACAAATTAAATATGGTACAAACTGTAATTTTGTTAACACAAGGAAAGATACGTAATTAGGTCCTAAATTAGTGAGATTTGTGTTGTTTGTTCAATAATAATTCTGAGATAGCCAATTCTGGGATAAAATTAAAATGATAAAAAAATAACTCCTTAAACTCTTTTGATACATCCTTTTCATCTATGGGGGATGTTTTTGTAAAGGAAAAATAACATTTTTTGGTCTCTGTTTTATTACCTTATTTCGAATTTAATCCTCATGATATTTTACTAAGCACATTTAACCTTTAATTAATCTATATGAGTGATTTTGGTCCAATCACTAACGGAGCTTAAAGAAACAAATGAACAATTAACTTCAAAGAATAGTTGTTTGAATATTTAAATTTTCAAATTAATTATACATTTTATTGTGTATTGAGGTATGTATTACCAATACTATGAATTTTTCATGTAATAGTAATACAAAGGATATTTACGACATAACTATCCCTCAAATACCTCTCAAAATATGTCTCATTTCCCAAAGCTAAAAAGTGTGGGAGGTACTTTTATAAATTAACATTTTTTTAATAAAAATTCCACGAGACTTATTGTTAATACAAAGAATCAAACAATATATAATTAATAACATTATCGTAACTATTACCAATATTACTAATACTTCTTATTCAACATTATATTATACACTCTACCAAATAATCTTTAAATCAATTGTTCCCAAACCACCAACAATAATATTCTTCTTACAACTCTAGTACATACTCTCTCTGTCTACTTTTAATTGTTATGTTGCGTTTTTCAAAAGTCAATTTGACTAATATTCAAAGTTAAATTAGATTATATTAATTCGATATTTTAAACAAAAAAATTAGATATTCAAAAACTATACGAAAAGTACTATAAATTCCATTTTTTTGTATATCAATATGATGGAATAATACATCATAAAATGTTAGTCAAAGCTATTATCGTTTGACTCTAAAAAAAAAAGAAAACTATGACAATTAAAAGTGAATGGAGATAGTATTATCCGTCTACCGCCAAAGACAAAAATAGCTCATTTAAGTTGTGCTAGTACGTACATTTGAGATAGAGTATCATTCTTGCATGCATATTACTAAGTCGAAGCTTTAAACTGTTAATTCATGATCTTCAATGAAGAAGAAGTAAAATTCTTGATATCATCTATAAGTGCGGTAAGATTGTTCCATGAAGATCTACCTTCTTCCACTGCATTTTTGGCTTGTTGCTGATCGATCGATCGCCGGAAGACGTGGGGAGTGGATAGGCCAAACTGAAAAGTGAAAATTAACGTGGGAAGTGACTGATGAATGATGTGTGGCTGCTAAGAAAAGTAAAAATTTTGAAAAGTAAAAACTGAAAAGTGAAAAGTTTGACCTAATTTTTCCTATTTATTATTTAATATTAATAATACAATATAATATATTTCGGTAAATCGAATAAAACAAAATTACATACCGAAAATTAAACTGAAATACCAAAAAATATGAAAATATATACCGAATACCAAAATCTCGAAACCAAAATAATTCGATTCGGTTTGGTGTTTCGATTTCTCGGTGTTTATGCCAAGCCCTAGTCGAAACTTTAAGCTGTTAATCCATGATCTTTAATGAAGAAGAAGTAAAATTTTTGATATCATCTATAAGTGCGGTAAGGTTGTTCCATGAAGATCCACCTTCTTCTATTACATTTTTGGCTTGTTGATGATCTGTTGATTGCCGGAAGACTGGGAAATGGATAGGCCAAACTAGAACGTTGGAAGCTGAAAAGTGAAAACTAACACGAAAAGTGACTGATGAGTGATGTGTGGCTGCTAAAAAAAGTGAAAAATTTGAAAAGTAAAAACTGAAAAGTGAAAAGTTTGACCTAATTTGCCTATTTATTATTTAATATCAATAATACAATATAATATATTTCGATAAATCGAACAATACAAAATTACATACCGAAAATTGAACCGAAATACCAAAAAATATGAAAATATATACCGAAGATCGAAATATCAAAACCAAAATAATTTGGTTCGATTTGGTGTTTCGATATGCCAAGCCCTAGTCAAAACTTTAAGCTGTTAATCCATGATCTTCAATGAAGAAGAAGTAAAATTCTTGATATCATCTATAAGTGAGGTAAGATTGTTCCATGAAGATCCACCTTCTTCCACAGCATTTTGGCTTGTTACTGATTTGTCGGTCGCTGGAAGACTGGGAAATGGATAGGCCAAACTGGAACGTTGGAAGCTGAAAAGTGAAAACTAACATGGGAAGTGACTGGTGAGTGATATGTGGCTGCTAAGGCTGACAATTGGACAGAACCGAATCAACAAGACCAGTTTTACCGAAACCGATATCTGAATCGAAACACGTTACCGGATTTATTTATCGAAACCGGATCTTACCGGAACTGATTTTACCGGAAATTCCCAAAGGTTCCGCCCGGTCCCTTAGTTACCAGATAGGAACCGATTTGGATCGAACCGAAACTGGTTCTTACCGGATCATTGTGTACCGATTTTTATTATTTATTTTTTTATTAATTTTAATTATTATATAATATTATATTATTAATTAATAATATTATATTATTAAAAAACTTCAATTAAAACTTTAAACTTTAAAGTTTCAATTGAATTTAAGTTTAAACTTTAAAGTTTAAAGTTTATATTGAAAATTTGAATTTAAAGTTTAAAGTTTATATAGAATTTAAAGTTTAAACCTTAAAATTCAATTTTATATTAAAGTTTAAAGTTTAAACTAATATTAAAATAATTGAAAATTAAATTTGTAAAATGCCTTGGATAGTTGGATTAAATATAAAAGACTATTTAAAAAGAAAATCAAGGCCAATAGCTGTATATTTATTCAAATAAATAAATTGTACAATACAAATATTAGAAAGGGACAAAGAGTACATAATCTAGGTATTGAATATTAATTATTGTACTAACTACTAACTACTAACAATTGAAACTTTTTTTAAAAACTTTTCATAACTTTTGTATCATTTCAAAAGAAACATTTTTTGGAACTTGTATTTGTCGTTCTTCTTCTATTGCTTCCATGTCATCATCACTATTATCACCAAATATTTCATCTATTTCCTCTTCTATTTGGCTATTTAATTGTGGTAGTCCGATATTTCTTCTTTCGGCATTGACCCAATCTCGAAACAACACTGATATTTTCAAACTATCATTTGCTAATGAATATCGATGATCTCCAATCATAAATCCCGCCGCACTAAAGGCTTGTTCCGAAGCAACCGATGATGCTTGAATTGCTAGCACATCTCGAACAATCCTAGCAAGGGTCGGAAATTAATTTTCACGATTCTTCCACCATACTAATATTGGAGCTTGAAGTTGTCCTTCTTCATGCTTAATCTTTTCCCATGCCTGATTGAAATATAAATCAAAATTATTATTAGTAGATGATTCAAGCTCAAGATAATCATCCTTCCAATCATCCGTATCATCACTTCTAGGCCTACAAGATGTAGGTTCAACTATTGGAATGTTTTTTTCCATAGATTTATATGTATTATATAACTCTCTAGCTTTTATATATATGCTACTTTTACAATCTTCAACATTAGGAGTTTCATCATCTTTAATTTCTAAATTTGCATAAATCTTTTTAACCATTCTTTCAACACCTTTTAATTTGTAATTTGGGTTGAAAGTAGTAGTAGTCAAACCGGTTCCGGTACCTATAAGACCGGTTTCTTAGCGGTTCAATCGGTACTGGACTTATCGGTACGAAAACCGGATCGGAATCGAACCGGACTGGAAAAAATCCTGTCCAATTGCCAACCTTAGTGGCTACTAAGAAAAGTGAAAACTTTGAAAAGTAAAAACTGAAAAATGAAAAGTTTGACCTAATTTTGCCTATTTATTATTTAATATTAATAATATTAATAATACAATATAATATATTTCGGAAAACCGAATAATACAAAATTACATACCGAAAATCGAACCAAAATACCAAAAGTTATGAAAATATATATCGAATACCGAAATATGGAAACCAAAATAATTCGATTCAGTTTGGTGTTTCGATTTCTCGATGTTTATGCCAAGCCCTAATCAAAACTTTAAGCTGTTAATCCATGATCTTCAATGAAGAAGAAGTAAAATTTTTGATATCATCTATAAGTGCAGTAAGATTGTTCCATGAAGATCCACCTTCTTCCACTGCATTTTTAGCCATCTTACTCATACTCACTGCTTTCTCTCTTATTTTCTGACTTTCCATTAACCTCTCAATTGCTTCTTTTATCTTTTCGCTTCTTAACACAGGGCTCGATATCTCAACACCTCCGTCGGAGCTATGTACTTCTGCCCCTACTTTCACTCCTAGCCCCATAACGTCCACAAGTTTTTCATTGTAGAATTGTTCAGCGAACACTGGCCACGTCACCAACGGCACCCCAGCGATGATAGCTTCAAGCACCGAATTCCATCCACAGTGTGTCATGAATCCTCCTACTGCTGAATGATCTAAGATGGTTAGTTGCGGCGCCCACCCATTAATAATCAGACCTTTTTTCTCATCGAACAAACTCTCCGGTAACCACGTGGTTTTTGCTGATTTGTCCTCCTTCACTACCCAAATGAAAGGGACGGTAGAAGCTTCTAAAGCTTTTGCGATTTCAGCGAGTTGCTCCTCTGGGAATCTAACTATGCTCCCGAAAGAGACGTAGAGGACCGATTTGTGCTTATGTTTATTCAACCACTCTACAACAACGGCAGATGAGTTACTTTCATCAGAAGAATTAATCAGTTCTTTTCTTGGGGATAATTTGGAAGAAAAATAGGAAATGGGACCAATTTGCCAACATTTGGTTTTCTTCATCTTCTGATAGTAGTCAGCGTAGGCAGGTTCTAGCTCGTAAAAAGTATCATGAACGATACCGTAGCTTAGATCCTCAGATTCTCTGGTTCGATCGAGCAATTCATCAAAAGCATTCCTCTCATCCGCAGGCCTTACCAGATCGTCTGTAAGTTGCGATAGCTTGAACTCGATCTTATCAGGTAAATCCGGAACCGAGAAATTAGTACTTTTGGAATATTCCATCTGATTGATGAGTTTTTCATGAGGTTTGTAAAGCCTAAGATTATACAGAATGGAATTGTACATGTAGCTAGATTGGTTGAACAATAGCCTGGGGATTTTGAGCTCCAGGGCAATATCGACAGTCCATGGGAAATACATATCAGAGAAGATACAATCAGGATGGATTTCACGAATTTTATCTTCCATTGGTTTCTGCAGAAGATAAATTCCGTGAAATACTTTACCCCCGATTTCATTTGAAGAGGTGGAGCTGAAATTTTCAATCCCTTCAGGCAACCCAACTTCAGTGGAGGGGAACTTAAGAGTATCGATAGAGATTAGGGAATTGTCAATAGAAGATCGGAAGAGGGAAGCATTGTGGTGGGTAGTGAGAATGGTAACTTTGACGCCGCCGTGAGAGGCGAATAGCCTGGCGGCGTTAACTAATGGAATGATATGACCAGTGGCGAAGTAAGGAAGGAAGAGGACGTGCAGTTGCTTGCTCCCGTTATCCATGGCTACCACACTAGAAAATGAAGTTGTTTGAGATTTTGGGTTTACAGGGTTGGTGAAGAGTCAATTAAGATTTTTTGTTAAGATAACAGACAATTTATCAAACATCAATGTGGTCCACTTTACCTAATCTAGCCAATCTTTATGATAACAAAACAAGAGAATGTGGTCCACTTTACCGAATCTAGCCAATCTGAAAAATCAGAAGGTTGCTTCTTAGAAACGTTTCTTTAAATAATTATTGTCTAGGAAATCAAGAACTCCTTGGCTAGAAGAATTGAAATATTAGTTAAAATTGGAGAACCATATGTTGTTGTATTACACAATATAATAAAGAAATAGAAGAAAATCTTGATAATTGAAACATTATAGTGTATCCAATTACCAATACCTGCAGTCCAGAAGTTTCATTAAAAATATTCTTCAGCATCCTCCGTATGTGAGAAATACTGAAATTTTCTATGGGCCAACTTTTACAAATATCATTTTAATTTTCCTATTTTGATGGTAATTAAAAAAAGAAGATCATTTGTATTTTTTTCATTAGGAGATGAGTTGCATTTTAAGCTAGTTTATATTAAATTTTGTCTCCGCAAAGTTCTTACAAATTCCAAAAAATGGTTGCCATAGAAAGCAAAGTGTAGACGAAGTGTATAGAGCGCTTTATTCCTGAAGCAGAACTTTTCTATGTAAATCTAGATTAGTTAAATTCCAAAAAAAAACAAATATTGAACATAGGGTGAAAAAAAAGCACAAAATAGATATTAGAAGTGTTGTGAAGTAAAATAGAAGATTCTAAAACTAGACTTGCTTTGTTATATAGATGTATTTAGAAACATACCGACAATTTCAAGTTTGTGGAGAAGTAGAGAGGAAAAGGGCAATACTTATGCAGTAATGTGAAGGAGTCTATCAAGTCTAAAGACTTTAAAGACTATGGGGTATGGGCAATGAACCTTTTTGCAGGTATGGTTGGAATTTAACTAAGCATGTTCTGGTTTGGATTTGTTTTTTTTACTTTCAAGCATAAATAAGATTGATATATTTTAATATTATATTATTAAATTAATTATTTTCCATTATTTTTTCCATTACATAGAAGTATGAAGTTAAGGACCATCAACGGATGTGGTGCGCGCAGCATGTATGCAACATTTGTTCCTTACTTAATTAAATGTTTCAAATTTGAATTCTGAATATATAAAATCCTTTGAAGGGAGCGCTTTCCCAATAGAATTCTACGTGATGAGAATTTAAAATAATCGAACTCTCAGACACACCTGATAGAAAAAAGAAGAAGTTAAGGAAGACCTAAGATATAATCATAATTTCACAACTCCACATAATGACATTTTAGATATTTTCCAATGACTTCGGTGTATGTTGGGTCCATTTATCTCATCATTGAACATAGTTATCCACGTGGCTATGATGAGCCAAACATTATTTGGTAACACATTTAGAGATTGTTTGGTACCGAGATTAAAGATTTTCTTTGTAAAAGAAAAGAGGTATTAGGATTAAGGGATAAAGAAAGATCATCAATTATTTTTTATTTGTAATGAGTCGGGTTTGGCCATTTTTCATACATTCAATTAATTAAGATGACAAATGTTGTGTGGTGATATATTTGCCTTTTCAATTAGTAAATATTAAACAACTCACACTTCAAATATTGTATTGGATTTATTTAATAAAAAACAATTTTTTCTAAATAATAAAATTTGTAAGTTAATTTATTTAAATAAATTTACCAGTAAAAAATATAAAACATAAAATCAAGATATAAACAAGATGATTTGAGGGATATTTTTGTCTTTACATAGATTAATTCAATCGTATTAAATTCTATTTATTACTAATAACACCAAATAAAAGGTATTAGTAATTCATCCTATAATATCGTGTAGAATATATAACTAATCCATCAATTAATTATACATAGACCCAAAATTCATACCAAACATAATACTAAATAGTATCACACATAATACATGAAATATTTCTCCTAATACTCCTACCAATCGACCCCTAAAACTCACGACACTTTTCTATATTTCTAAAAACTAAAATTAAAGGTTGCAGATGACTTAAGCCTTTAATATATTTGCAACTTTATAAATTATTCAAAATACACATAATTAGAAAACTCATATATATCAACAAATAATACATTCAACGGAAAATGATCAAAAATACCCTTGAACAGTCCAAAAATGTTTAAATATACTCCTCATTCACCTATTGGGCTAAAAATACCCTTCAATCCGCCTTTTTGGTCCATTTTTACCCTTTAAACTAACAACTTTTTCTTTTTAATTATTATTATTTTTATATATTACGTGGCATCTTCCTATTGGATAAAATTAAATTCCAACCCATTAGATTTTCCTATATCCATATCCATATCCCATGCCCAAACTTGACCCATTACAAATATAAGATAATTGATGATCTTAAGTCATCTGCGGCCCCTTCAAGTTGTTCGTATAATTCACTTAGACACCTTAATTAAGAGTTGTACCTATTACACACTTTTACCGTTCAAAACATGTACCTATTGAATACTTTTTGGTGATATAGCATCATGAGTGTAGTACACATCCCATAAAGCGAGTGAAGCCAATTTTCTTTTTTGCAGACAAATCAAAATTGGACATGTCACCATTAGAAAAATCATAATTTTTGAACCTATAAAAAAAGTTTTAAAAAAAAATTCATGTAGTCATCTTTCCCAATGGACTTCACAATCTAATATTGACATCTGACAATTTCCTTTGCCACCATCCCTTGACACACCCCTTTTCCATCTATTCTTGTATTCTTTCTTTCTAGCATCATTCCGTCATTATAAAAAGGGAAAAGGGCCTGATATACCCCTCAACTTTGTCATTTGGAGCTGATATGCCCCTCGTTATGAAAGTGGCTCATATATACCCTTACCGTTATACAAACGGCTCACATATACCCCTACAGTTACAAAATGAGCTCACATATACCCTTTATTTAACGGAAGTGAAAAAGTTAGTTTTAAATTTATATTTTTGACTTTTAATTTTCTTAAAAATTAATTAGGGGTATATATGATTCTTCTAGCAAAGTTCAAGGTATATTTTAATCTTTTTTATACATAAATTATTTTGTGACTTCTTTTGTTATAATTATTTGAGTTTCTTATTCTTATTTTATTTTTTTCTTTCATTCCTTAGTGTAAAGAAAAAAATTTAAAACTATTTTTTTATGGCTATATTATAATTTAAAATTTTATTTTTTTGGTCTATATTGTAATTTAATTTTTGTATTTGAAGAAAACAATTTGGTCATCTATAATAAGTTTTATAAGAATATTAGTGAAACATAAATAAATTTGACCATCAAAATAATAAATCTAAATTAGTCATTGAAACAAAAAAAAAAGTTAAAAAAAAATATATGTTTGAGGAGGATTAAATATACTCATATGGGATTATATTTTTTTTAAAAAATAATAAAAAATTAACCTAAAATTAATTTTTTTCATTTCCATTAGAGGAAAAGGGTATATGTGAGCCATTTGTATATAAGTAGGGGTATATATGAGCCACTTTCATAACGAGGGGTATATCAGCTCTAAATGACAAAGTTGAGGGGTATATCAGACCCTTTTCCCTTATAAAAATCGTCGTTGTTTTCTTCATCAGAAAAGTATCAATTAAAGAAATAAAAATTAAATTGAGTAAAAAATAATTCCGGCGAAACTCCATTATTTCGACAAGACTAATACGAATTTAAAACTATTTTCTTTGAAGTCGTTAAAGAATTCAAATTCTGAAGAACACGAAACATAAAGAAGAAGAAATATCAACATATCTTGATTGTTGTTCAAAAAAGAGAATGAGATTGGAAAAAATAACAACTACAATATTGAATTAGAATAAAGGAGAGGAGATAGGTGTACCATTATCGGAGTGTACAATTTTAGCCGAAAGTGATTGTGCGTGTTCCGGCGAAAAAGAAAATGGAGAGAAAGGTTTTTCTTTTTCTTTTTGGTTGATAATATAATTTTTATTTTATTTAATTTTTTAATTGTTATTATGGGTTCAATGCCACATGTCTTTTTTTGATTAGTTATTATGTCACATCATCGCGAGGGTATGACACACAATTTATATTTATAGTTGATTATAAAAAAATGTTCAATAGGTAAAAAAATTTTACTAATAAAAGTGTTCAATTGGAACAAGCCTAAGATGAGTGTCTTGACTTAAGCATTCTTTGTAAAAGAAAAGAGGTATTAGGATTCAGGGATAAAGAAAGATCATCAATTATCTTTTATTTGTAATGAGTCGGGTTTGGGCATGGGGTTATGGATATGGGTATGAGAAAATCTAATTGGTTGGAATTTAATTTTATCCAATAGGAAGATGTCACGTAATATATAATAATAATAATAATAATAATAATAATAATAATAAAAGAAAAATCATTAGTTTTAAGAGTAAAAATGGACCAAAAAGGTAAATTGAGGATATTTTTAGCCAAATAGGTGAATGAGGGGTATATTTAAACCTTTTAGAATAATCCAAGGGTATTTTTGGCCATTTTTCATACATTCAATTAAGATGGCAAACGTTGTGTGGTGATATATTTGCCTTTTCAATCAGGAAATGTTAAACATCTCACATTTCAAATATTGTATTGGATTTATTTAACAAAAAACAACTCTTTCTAAAGAATAAAATTTGTAAGTTAATTTATTTAAATAAATTTATCAGTACAAAATATAAAACATAAAATCAAGATATAAACAAAATGATTTGAGGGATATTTTTATCTTTACATAGATTAATTCAATGGTATTAAATTCTATGTATTACTAATAACACCAAATAAAAGGTATTAGTAATACATCTTATAATATCGTGTAGAGTATATAACTAATCCATGAATTAATTATACATAGACCCAAAATTCATACCAAACATAATACTAAATAGTATCATACATAATACATGAAATATTTCTCCTAATACTCCTACCAA